ACATGCTTGATAAATTGATTATCGGTTGGAGATCGCGACCACCCTCGCGGCAATCTGGGAGCTGAGGTTAATTCGATCGGACTTGAACTGTCTTTTGGCTAGTCAGGACCAGCACTCTCACAATGCGTCAAGACTCCAGTATCCTCCACTTAACCTGGAGAATGCTAATGTAGACATTCGAAACAAAATTGCCCTTCAGCATAAACTTGTCTAGGCTTCGCAACGTGGGGAGAGGGCTATATGTCGCCGAAAGTGGGGCGGTCTCGGGCGGACAATGCAGCAGATACTAAGCCTGTGCATTCATTGGACTGTGTTTTTGTTGCAATTCTACCTCTTCCGGCGACACCTAGTCCCCTACTCGGCTCTCTTACCGTTCAATTCTATAAACAGTATGCGAGGTAAGATATGACACAGTAAATAAATTTGCAGTCCTTCGTTCATCCGTGTTGAGGAAGCCGTCCAAAAACCGGTCGATATATCGATTAGCGCTGCATGGTAAGAAATTTCGTTATAGCTGTTGGATCATTCTGAGAGTGAAACAGAAGCTTTATTCCATAGAAAAGGACTGAAACAACAACTCATTTAGCAAATGAGATCTTTAATAACAAACTTGGTGGGAATTCACACAACGATGTTCCAATTCAACAACAATTTTTCACATCATAAACTTGAGTTTCAACGGTAACAAAAAGAAGCAAAAAGACAGCATATCCGACAGAATATCTGCAAATTATGATTCGCTTTCTATCTCATAGTTCTTCAGATAAACTCGTTTTGGTGGCAGTTCAGTGACGAACTCGTCCGGTTTCCGTTTTCCAGCGCCAAATGTGATGATAGCAATATAACCCTATGAGTAACGTATGAGGGTGGTTTATTTTTGTATTTGTTTGAGTTACCTGATTCTCAGGAGCAGTGCGTACCAAGTCCGGATTTGTTGCCAAACGATCATTCACCTACATTGTAATTCAAAAATTTAGATATTTGATAATGCTAAGACCCTTACTTCAGCCAGAACTCCACGAACTCCTGCCCGAATTATGAGTTCTTTGCCATCCTTGCATCGTATAGTGCATAATCGAGTTTCTTTTTGCAAGTGGAGTCCACCCTGAAGTGGAAATCGCTTGTTTACATATCGACGGCCGCTCGATATTCAGGAGACGCACGATCTCCTGGACGATGGTAAGATTTTACGAACTTTCCAAATTCTTCACGAAAAGAGAGAAAGAAATCCAAAATTCAAAAGAGATTACCCATAAGATTTGATACTTTTCCGGACAGCTTCAAATGAAGTGATGCTTTGATTTTGAAAAGTATTAGGGTGTTTCAAAAGTAAACTTTTTAAAATAAATCAAGCTGCTTTGTTCTTCCTAGCAAAGTTGGGGTATCATCTGATAGAGTGAAAAGCTCTAAAAAACAACTACCAAAGATTCGCCTGATTCGTAATCCATGTAAAAATTGGAACTAAAAACTAATTCCCTAAAATTTAGATCTCCCCCCAGAAATTCTACGGACCTCCAACTTGCTGATTATACAGTGGACACACAGTAGTACCCAAAAATATCTTTGTTGGATTTTTTTTCGAGGCTCCACATTGGAGAAAGCAAAGTGGCCCTCAAATGCAAAAAATGTCACTTTTTTCGAGTTTTCTATGTCGAATTTGGCAACAAACAGAGGTGACTGACGTTAAACTTACTAATGCTTGTAGTAAATGACATATGCGGGAGGGGCAGGAGGCGGAATTTTCAATTTTTAGACTATCTTTTTTCTCGTTTTTTAAGCGCGGAAAAACCCAGTAAAGGCA